ACCTTTGTTTTCTTGCTCTTTAATAGAAATAAAATTATTGTATTGGTCCTGGTTGACTTATAAGGTAATAGTTATCCAGTTCAGATAAGGGATCTGGCTTACGGGTGGCGCTCAAAATTACTGTTATCGCTACCGTATATTCGCCATCCTTCCCTCACCAACTCACCCTTAGGGCCATGTCACCATGGTGCCCCGTTTTACACAGGAGGAAACGGGATCTCAGGGAGCAGAAGGGATTTATCTAAAGCCACACAGCACAGAAGTCTGGATTTGAACCTACTGTGTGCGAATCCCAGTCTCAGAAAGGGAAATGGAGCCTCAGGGAGAAGGCAGGGCTGGCCTGACCACACAGGTGCGCGAGTTTGGGCTTCTAGAAAGACGCCCGCAGATCTTTGAGGAGGCGGAGGCGCGAGGGCAGAGATTTGAAAACTGCTAGTCTGAGTGCGCGCTGCCCGGGGAGCTGCTGGAAAACTTGGTCCCGCCCGGCAACAGCCTCTGCGTCCTTAGCGACCCTGGCGGGGCAGCCTGCGCCGAGCGCGCCACCCTGCGACCGGTCCGGTCCCCGCGCCCCACCCGGGACAGGAACAGAGAGCGCGCGCCCCTCTGGGCTGCCAGGGGCAATCGCCGCCCCAGCGGTAAGGAAGTCCCTCTGCTGTCCCCGGGAAAGGTCCCAGGGCGAAGGGGCAGCTGCGGGGCAGGGAGGAGACCGGACAGTCACTAAGTCTGGGCCTCGAAGTTTCCAGACAGGTTCTAAGAGGGTGCAGGTCCCACTGGATGGGGTCTTGGGAAGAATCCTGGTCTGTCACACCAGAATACTGGAAACGGCTCTGTCCCTGCTCTTTGTGACCAGGGGCGAATAATACACCCTCTCTGGGCCAGGCTTTTCCAGTCTGTAAAGTTGCCTTTAGATTAGAATGGTTTCTAAACGCCTTCCCCGCTGTGAGAGGCTCCTAAAGGCGTGCTCCGCCCTGGCGAGGTTTACTGAACTTCGCCTTTGCTTTGGCATCAGACCTGTTTACACACCCAGGGCTCATCTCCTGCAGGGTCTCACTTTCAAGTTCACTAGACTGTTGCAGAAACAGGTGGGTCAGTGGTTACAGAATCCCTCTTTCCTAACTGACACGTTATCTCACTGGAGTCCTGAGCGCAGAACTGGAAGTATGTCTATTTCATAAATGAGGAAACGGCATCAGAGCTGAATATGGGCTCTTCAAATACTCTACTAACGCCTCTCTGACCTCACAAGAATCCCCTCTGATGCCTGGTAGTACAGGAAGCTGGAGTCACAGTATCTCAGAGGGACTTTGCAGATGTCTTTAAGTGAGAATCCTAACTCTCATTCCCTGTTCTGTGCTGTTAAGTAAATTACGTGGCTACATTGTGACCATTCCCTCCTCTGTAAAAAAAGAATGTTATTAGTAAGTAAAAGTGTCTCTTGCGTGTCTTTGTTAAGAGTATTACCCCAGATAATATAGGAAGAGCACTTCTTCCTGGGATTAGTGGTGTTGTTGTTGACAAGGATGCTGTAGTTCCCTGGTGGAAAATCAAGCAAAATGATTTATTTATTTTAGCCCCCAAGGAATTGAAGAGATTTTAAGAAGCATCATGTCAGCAGTTTGGAAGACTCCCCGTGGCTCAGATGCAATGCCTGAGATCACCGTGAAAATCATTGGAAGTAAACACTTTCGATACCTCGTGGAGAAGCCAAAGATGTAAGCCTGCTATTTGAAAAATATTTGTGTTGCTTGGATAATAATGAAGTTTTGGTGTGTGTGTTTTTTAAAATGCCATCTGTAGAAAATTAAGTCATTAAGAGGTAACAGTGAAATACAATAGTGGTGATAACTTCCTTGCACACTGTTTACTGGATATTTTTCATCTTATAATTCCCTATAATCCTTAATTAC